TTTTGTTGAGCTTCTCTGGTTGGCTGAGAACTGACTGAGAGTTCTGTCATGTGGTGAAGTTATCTAGGCTGCTGAAGCAGATTGTCAAGACTGAGTGTCTGTCTATGACGGGAGCTTTCATTCTCTTTTTCTGGTGCAAGAGTATCATTGCCCAAGCTAACAATTTGTTGTCCATCGTAACGCCTGGCGGAAATGCCGATGCAGAGGGATGATCTTATGGTTACCAGAGCAACCCGTATCTGAATTTGTAACTGCCCAAGGCAACTTTCCATCCATCTGTCTGTTGTTCGATCTTCCGCACATATGTGGGGTATATTCTCTCATGTGAAGAGGGTTCGACGAAAATGCGATTTATCTGAGGACAAGAGCTGGAGAGGACATAAACTGCCTCTTGGAATGTACTGTTGCGGCTTGATATGTTCGCAATGCCGGGATGTCGGCTTTCCGTCTGGGCATGCCTGAATTGACCAGTGGGAATTCTTGCCTGTCAGCTTATGGTTTTTGAGCTTACTCTAACCATCGGATCATAGCCAGCACCGTAAGCTTTGGACGATGTCGGAAGAGGGATAATGTGGTTGCTTCTTCAATTGTTCTCAAGATCTAGTAGAATATCCGGCAAGTTACGAACTGCAGCCTGGTCTTCACTCTGAAAATGCATGGCTGCTGTAGGTGGACCAACGAAGGGTGATGGTCAAGTGCTTGATGGGTTCCCATACGGGAGGATACATAGAAACAACACATGGTGACGATGTCGGACGTACCACCCTCTAGCTGGAAGTGACCAGGTCAACTTGAGCGGCCAGATGGTTAACTCGGGTTCTGATGTTGCCTTCAAGCTGTCTCAGATGAACCTAAAAACTCTACATCGGCAGCGATTGATGTATGTACAATATATTCGCATCCCTGCATGGGGGGGAATTCTGAAAGTTTCGTGCACCGCAACAGGTCTTCAACAGGAGCGCGCAACTGCTATCGAATGTTTCATTTCTCATTTGCCGGACAATATAATTATATCATTTTAAGAGTCAGGTTAGCGCTCACTTTCACCCAATATTATTGATGTATTTTTCATATCAAATGCTTTCAGATGTTCCTATCAACCACCCGTTTTCCTGGTGTCGGGCTGACCGTATGTTCCTGTCCGATGCGGATAATATACGGATTGACCGGGTGCTGATTTTAGTGACCACATTGGATTGGCAGTGGGAATTGGCCTTTTATCAATAAAACGGCTGAGGCCATATTTCCCATACATACAATCGAATGCGCGCACTAGATTCTTCCAATACTGTCGGCTGTCCACGTCCGGGGGATTGTTCCTTACTTTGAGATACACAAAGAAACGCTGGACTCTTGGGGGGAAAAAAGGGGATAACATGTACTATACCACACAGATTGTCGCAATGCTTCGAAGCTCAGAGTGGCATTTGTCGTTGGAGTGAATATTTTAATGGGCAAATTGAGGCATCTCATTTTCATGAAGGGGAGGTCACATGAATCAAAATCACGTGCATCGTGACTGATATAATCATTTTCATCAACTCCGTTTTCTATTTCTGCGGCGATTTCATGGGAACGACATGACGATTGCAGCAGATTCATTCAATCATGCAGAGAGGAGCTGAGTCCACTTCGGAGATAGCTGAAGCTGAATGAAGCCCTAATTTGTTTTTGAGGGATAATTTGCAACTCTATGCATAGTTTGCGGAATTCATTTTGATCAACAGGAGAAGAGACGGCGGAGCACCCAAGCCAGCTCTAAAAAGGCGTTGGTGCCGGACGTCGAGAGGGCCATTGAGCAGGGGCTGAATCCCCTTGCTTGCCCATATGCAGTTTAGCTGGGGGTTTGCTGGTGAAGTGAAGAAGCCAAATCCGCCATGGAATCTCTCCCGCGCGACATCCCGGGTTATTATTATGGTGCGTCTGAATACGTTCCTCTATGTATTCCAGGTCGTGAAGAATGCAATGCAAAGCAATGGATTGTTCTGTAATGAAATGCCATGTTTACTTTTTAATCATTCTATCCATGTGGTGTCCATGCCACTGTTTTTCTGTTTATGATGTGGCATTCCTAAAGGTGGAGTTCGGCCTTGATACACCCTGCAGGCACCCTTTGCCCCTGAGGGAAGCTTTTGAACCCAAACAGGGCAGGCAATCTGTACAATGAAACATTGGTTTTATTATATTCTAGCCATACTGGAAAGGGGGAGCAAAAGCCTGCGAGATTGGTTACTCCGTTTTCTTGCGTGCTTCGATCTTCTGCGCATTCTTTGATGCCTTGTGGAAATGGCCAATTCCGCTGATGAAAACGTACCACCAGATCCTGAAAAGAAAAAATATTTCAAAGTTCAAGCAAATCATACTGCTCCATTAGGATCTAAGTACACGAAGGATGACATCAAAAACAGGAAAGAAACGTCTTTGGTGAGTTTCAAACTTCCTTGTTTATGTTGGTTCTACAGTGCATGGCTGACTTCAAATTAGAAACGAAAACGATGGGAAGAGCACGATCAGCGTGTATCAACAGAAAAAATTAAAAGATCAAATATTTTGCATCATACCATCAGCGGCACATTGTTGCAGCAAGAGTCTGGAACTTTACTCACCTCAAGGAGTCTAGTTTTTGAGCAACGTGAAGCGACGTGTGCCAGACTATTTTCTAGGAACTGCCTAGTAGATGTGGCTAGCTCCGATGTCAAATACCCAGTGTCTAGGTTTGCCAGAGACCCTTGGAGTGGGAATCTCTTGGTTGGTAGGTGGACATCTCTTAAGGGACGCTAAAATGGTTGATGCTGATGATTCTTTTGGAGCGCAGCTATCAATACAGCATCGTGTTTTAATCTTCTGTAAGTTCAGATAGTTCCTCCGCTTCGACTGGTTATCTCTCTGCTGACGAGTTTAATGCTAGATCTTATCTTCCCAAAAAACAGAGTCGACCTTGGCAGTACAAATGGCGCCAGCGATGGTGTAACCGTGTAATGGTGGGATACGATTGGGTATGTATGAGCCGCACTCATTCACACCATAATTTTAATGAGTTTTACAGGTCACTTCACTCTCCGTAGGTCCAACAGGCTGGCTGCTGTGAGTACTTACCTTACATTCAGATATACTCTCACGGCTGAACTGGGCTAAGATTATATCTACAGCGTGTCATCAAGTGGCCAAACCGGAGAAAGCGTGCATGTCTCAATATCTAGGCTCTTCAATCCCTCAGATCCGCGACCGGTCACCCAATACGTAGTCGGTAAGATGGATGTTGATGTTATAAAATTTTCTACATAGACCCTCTTATCAAGCGCTAACAACATTTCCGCTTCAGATGCCGCAACCACATTTTGCTATCCCGGTTCCATTGTATGGTGCTCTGCTGCTTGCCCTAGCAGCACAGAGAGCATTTTCGCGGCTGGTAAATCCAATGATTTGCTACTAGTCACGGGGATAGAATCATCCTGGAACATACGAGCCTTCAAAATGTCGCCGTGTGCCGATGTCATGGCCGTTGAGTGGCTGGCGCCTCAAGTGGTCATGACAGGGCTGAAAAACTCACTGGTGCGGCTCTATGATCTGCGGAGCCGGGATACGGCGTCGAGACTGCAACATCCACATGGTGTGTATAAGATTCGGAAGGTAGATGACTGTAGAATCGTGGTTGCTGGAGCTCAGAAGAATGTATGTTGTAACCGTTCAAGTCCCCTTATTATGTCTACCCCAAGTTCAACACCAACTAATATATGATCTTTTTCTATTGTAATAGCTCCACATGTACGATCTCCGTTTTACACCAAACATCATCTCCGAATATCCTCAACCCAATAAACCAACCCACACCTGGACAAAGCCATATCTTTCCTTTCCAGACTACGCAAATGACCTTATCTCCCATGACGAGCTAGATATAAGTCCGGAACTCGGTCTTCTCGCATGTGGTGGTAAGTTCGCGCCATGCCAAACACCTGCACTCCGCTTACACAGCCTTAGGTTCCCAATCTAACAGGATCCAACTCTTCTCCCTCAGCACGGGAAAACTGGTTATGCCACCACCCCTTTTCCCGTCTTCCTTGTCGTCCATCCCGACACCTCAACAAGCACCCACTTCGTCATCCCTCCCAAATCATTCACAGGGAGTTATAGAATCAGGTAATTCCACCTGCAGGGACGTCCCGATAACCCACATCCAGTACGCGGATCGGATCAGATGTTTGCGCTTTGAAAATCTGGACGCATTTCCAACCGTCAATGGCGGGATCAGCGCAGGGACGCCAAGTTTGTTGGTTAGTGCAGGGTCTACGGTTGAGGAGTGGCGCATGTGATAGGGACTTTCCTTAAGAATTAGGGTGACTATTATTGTTTGATTCTGTCTGCTTTCGTTTTTTGATTCTTTAATAGGAGATTTTCAATTTTTTATGGCCTATTTGGCTTCGACTTGCGTCCAGGAAAAAAGGGAGTTAAAAGGTTTGGGTGAAAATATTCCATTTTGGGTTGGTCATTTGATTATAACAAAACAATTGTCGCTGTTTTAACGTGGCTCCATCATTTCAACCTGGGCCAGAGACGGAGAGATTCAGCTCCAATGTTAATAAATGATACCATTTGATTGTTGATTCTAATGGAGAAAACGTAACATTACTCATTTTGTTCCATCAATTGTGGTATTACCAATGGATAAGTTGCATATGCACGAATGAAATGGATGGAGGGTCGTATGTGCTGGACTGTATACAAAAAGAATGCCATAATAGATCTTGTGCGGAGATTGACATCTAGCAGGTCTATAGAGTTATCTAGAAGCCAGTCCACTCATAAAGCAGGCTATGCAATAGTATAACCTCAAAATCTCAATGGAATAATTCATCTGTTCTCAAAAGCCAACCACATCCAAGACTCTAGGAATGCCACGGGCCTCCGTCATATCACGTCATATCATATCAAGCCCACAACCACCTTCCACCTCCTCGTTAACATATACTACCATCTCCACCTCCATTTCTACCCTCCACCTACTTCCCCCGGTCCTCGGGAAACTCATCCGCAAGCTTCAACCTAGCCACGACATTCATACTAAAAAGCTCCTGAACCAACAACTTCGCTGCGTAAGGGATAATCATCTTCACCACCCCCCGTGAAGACTTACACCGTTGACACCACCCCGAATACCCCATGAACCCACAACTCTCACAAACATCCACCTCATACTGATCAGACGAAATCATCAACCGTTCCAACAACAACTGACTCGTGCCATAAGCAATCAGACAATCGCGCTCCATCTCCCCGAGACGCAGACCACCGTCACGCGAACGACCCTCCGTCGGCTGACGCGTTAAGATCGCCCGCGGCCCCCTAGCGCGCGAATGCATCTTATCCTGCACCATGTGCTTCAGCTTCTGGTAGTAGATGGGCCCCATGAAGACGTACGCGGGAAGTGATTCACCCGTGATACCCGACGTTAGGCAGTCCTTCCCACCATACGAGAAGCCATGCTTGACAAGGATAGCAGACATTTCCTCAACGGGGCTGCCGCCAAAGGCAGTGCCGTAACTGAACTGGCCAGAGAGAATGCCCGCTTTGCCCGCAACGAGTTCCAGCATTTTCCCCACCGTCATACGTGAAGGGAAACCGTGAGGATTCATGATGATGTCTGGAACGATGCCTAGGTCGCTAAAGGGCATGTCGGCTTGCTCGGCGATGATGCCGACGACGCCCTTTTGCCCGTGACGCGAGGAGAATTTGTCGCCAACCTCCGGCCGGCGAGTTTGGCGCGTTTGTACTTTTATCAGTTGGTTCTCCGCCTCAGTGGAGGAGATCATGACTTTGTCGATGTAGCTTGGGTCAGGGAGTTTGTAGGTCTGCGGGGAGGGGATGTAGGTGATTGGCCTGCCGGCGTCGGAGCCGGTGATACCGGACGACAAGGCGTTTTCCGGTGTGACTTTGTTAATGTAGACTTCACCTTGGTTTACCTTTTCGCCAACAGCGGCCAGGCCGTCGTTGTCGAGAAGTGCGTGTTTGCGGACTGGAAGGCCATTTTCACGATCGGGGCCTTTTAGTTTGTCCTTCGTGCCGTTTGAGTAGCTTTTGAGGTTCGTGGAGTATTTGCGGAAGACTTGACAGCGGCCAAAGCCACGGTCTATAGAGCCCTTGTTCAGCACGAGGGCATCCTCAATGTCATAGCCGGAATAACTCATAACGGCCACAGTGGCGGCCTGGCCAGCGGGGAGTCTGTCGTATTTGATCAGCTCTATTGTTCGGGTTTTCACCATCGGCTTCTGAGGGTAAACCATGGTGTAGAGGAGGGAGTCGATGCGAAGGAATTGGTTGTTGGCAATTGCGCCGATGGCTTGTTTACCCATAGCGCATTGGTATGTATTTCGTGGGGATTGGTTGTGATGGGGATAGGGAATGAGACCGGCTACAGCCCCGAGAATCGTGAAAGGCTCGATTTCCAAATGTGTCGTGCTGTCAACGATGTCATTTTCATAGACGGCAATATTTGAGTCATTCTCTTCATTACAATCCAGATACTCTACGAGCCCGTGGGCCAAGAAGTCATCGAATTCCATCGATCCACTCCTTAGTGCGCGAAGATGACGGGCTTGGACTCTGGATTTCCCGTCTTCGACAATGATTAGCGGACGACATATGCGTCCATCATCCGTCGCGATGTGCACTGCTCTTTGGTGGTGATTGATGAACACGCTGATGAATTCCGAAACCCGTCCCGTCCGACGCAACCGTCGGAAGGAATGTAGGAAAAATTTGGGTCGTCGCGTTAACGCGATGGGGGATCCGTTAAGGAATACAATATAAGTTCCCTGGCCATGCAGCTCACGCCCACCGACAGTCTGGACATCTTCAGCGCCGAGGGCGAAGATCAGTTTCCTCACAGGTTCCTCCTCGTCGTTAGTAGTGATATGCGTCATGAGGGCTAAATTCTTGACAAGACCACAAGCCTCGCCTTCAGGTGTATCGGACGGACACAGCATGCCAAACTGCGACGGTTGTAGAGCTCGAGGCCCGGATACTTTGCGAGTCTTTTCAAACTGACTCGATATACGGGTCATCATACCCAACGCCGCGATGTAACTTAGTCGACTCAATACGTGTGTAACACCTGCGCGTTCCATGCGGAACCGCTTCAGACTCCAGTTACCAGTTGAGATGGCCCGGTTCATCCCTTGGGTGATGTGATTACCATGTATGGCGACGACCCCATATGCGTCAAACTGTTCCGTCCGCACGGGTTTCTTCAGAACTTTATCGATATTCATTTTTATGTCGAACTGGAACTTCTTGAATAGATCCTCAAATAACAATGACAGAAGCTGGCCAGCCAGTTCCAGCCGTTTGTTACCCACATAATCTCGATCGTCTACAAGACTTGGATCATGCTTTGCCATCAAGACACGTCGAGCCATGTGCGCGACGTATAGAGCCTTGGGACGGAAGTTGAGGTTCTCCACAACAACATGCGAGATAATAACCGAAGATATCGCTTCGATGGCTTCCTGGACATAGTTACGACGGATAACGCCAAAATTATTTGGTTTTCGGTTGATCTTGATTCTGCTCCCGATATATTCCAGCGCCTGATGCTGGGTATATATACCCAGCTTCACCGCCTCCTCGAAGTTAATGGCAAAATCTTCCTGATACGTGCTGTCGATGCCAGCAACAAGAAGCAACATCTCTTTGTCAGATTGAATCCCCATCGCTTTCAGAAGAATGACGATTGGAACATCTTCGTTGAGAACGTTATGTCTCACATAAATCCGCTCCTTCTTAAGAATGATGTAACTCTTCGACTTTCGTTCGTTTGAAGAGCTATGAGTCAACTGTTAGAGCAACAAGTCTACGAATAAGAAAGAGGGAGGAAATAGAGAAACAGGGAGGAAATGAGAGGTATCACACACCTAGTGACTGAAGCCTGAACAATTTCTTTCTTCAAGTCCGTCTCCACAATAACCCGATTCTTACTCAACTGCTCCTGAACCAAAATAACCTTCTCCGTGCCATTGACAATAAAATACCCGCCGGGGTCAAGTGGGCACTCTTGCAAAAGCTGCATCTCAGCCTCGGACTTATTCGACAACACGCACTTAGAGCTGCGGAGCATAACTGGCATTCGACCAATGGCTGTCCCATTCCGCTTGACCCGTTGCCTACCACGAACATACTCGAAATCTACCAGGATCGGGCTTGCATAGGTCATATCGCGCAGTCTGCATTCGTTCGGGGTGATTGTGGACGCTGCATTGAAGTTGGAGTCTTGCTCTTCGTCAGCTCGTCGGGGCGTGCCCAGGTAGATGTCGTGGAATCTAAAACCCGAAAAACATAATGCGAAGTTTTAGCGGATGACCTACCGCAGGTGTGATAACATATTTAAAGGTGTGAAACTACCTAATATAGAAATTCGGATCGACATCGCTACGAATCTCTGCGCTAGCCTGCACGATCTTCTTCAATTGGACCTCGACAAAGTAATTATATGAATCAATATGTTGCTTAACTAAGCCCTTAACCTTGAGAAAGGCAGGTAATAAGTTCCATTTATCCTTGGCCGTGTTTATCGGATCAGTGAGAGATTTGGTGTAGTAGAATGGCTTCAGCAGGGTATCGAAGTCCTGTATGGATTCAATGTTTGATTAGTCAACCTACATATTATTTCATTTGGCCTACTGTAATAGTAGTAGAATGTCATACATCAGCCCTTCCCTTCACCTTGTTGGCATGTGAGTGATCATGCTGGTGCGATTCCGTCGTCGTCTGCACATTGGCGGCGGCGGGGGGAGCAGCTGTAGCGGCAGTCGCAGGTGTCTTGGACAGCGTTGCATGCGCAGCACGTTTTCGTCTCATGGGACTTCCGGGCATGGCTGGGAGAGTGAGAGAATCCGATTCCTGTACACAACTGTCAGATATACGGGTTGATGAAAACTATTAACGAAGCTGTGGCATACCCCTCAGAGGGTAGAAAAAAGTCTGGGAATCGGAAAGAAGAGAGCCAAAGCACAGATGGGAGGAATAAGATCATAAATCGTGAAGAGACATTGTTGACATTGCTATAACTGCTGCAGAGACATATCGTCTCCTCGTAAAAGTATTATTATTATTATTTTTTATTTTTTTTTTCAATGATGACTTCTCTTCAGCTGCAGCGTTTAGGGGAGAGGATTAAGCTTTCGGGACGGGCAGTGCCGAGGCTCCGGACGATTATATAAGAAGTTGGTAAATGTGGTCCAAGCGTTCTGAGCGCTGATCTTTTTCAACCATGTGATACTTTCACTTCAGCCGCCTACGTCATTTTCTCCCGACTCATCTCAACCTCGTTCCAAGCCGCAACGAGTATCCTCCTTCATCCGCTCATCATGTAGAAGAAGCACTAGAATATCTAGAGACAAATATATCCTGATCGCCAAACTTTCACTCTCTCCACTGTCTGTTTGCAGTTTCATGTACTTCACAAGTCATCCCGGTCACCGAATACAATCTTCCTTCCTTTCCCCAGCTTCAAGTCACTTTGGTGCCCGACGAACATCCCGTATAGTACAGCGAACGTCTAGCCAGTTTTCTTTGTAACATTGGGGCCTCCCACCTTCATTTTTTACCCCTTGAAAACATCAATGTGGACGATCCATTATTATTATTATTATTATTATTATTATTATTATTATTAATGTCAGTTCTTCTGGTTTCTGCATGCCGTCATGCCTAACCCCGAAGGAACGACCATGCCTTCGTCTAATTGCTTCTATGTCATTCGTCCAAGGGATGGAGGGTAATGAGATTCTGCAGAAGGGAAACAAATAACACATATGATAAAACCCCGCATTGACATCACCCTGCTTACGCCAGAACTCACCTACTTGTGTCCCTCCCTCAACTCCTTTCAAATCTATTTAGAGCAACATCTGGTTACATCCTGATCTAGCCCACTATCCTGCGTTTTACTTCTGCGCTGGATATCACAGATGCATAGATAGCCAGGGGGCTGTCGTCTTCAATTCCTCAATTAATTCAACCTGGTTGGTTGGAACCAGCACTCAGTAATACACGATATGGATATGTAATATAGGCAGCTCTGCATATCTACAGTTAGGTCATGTATAGATAGAGAGACATCATAAAGTTTCTCCTTGAGATATTTTTGATTTTTCTTCTTCCGCACTCCGCGCGCGATGTGGCGTCGATGGAGTTACGATTGCATATGCTGAATGTCTGATAGTGCTAGGGTTCCAGTTAATGTGCTGTTACTGTTGATGATCCAATCGAGACCGGTCTACAATCGACGGAAAAGTATGGTATCTGCAAATATATGCATTCAGTGTCTGGCGGGGTATGAGCCCTGCATCCCCCTCGATCTCGGCGCGATAAGACCATGCGAGCGGGAGACCCGAGTGGTTCGGCACCGAGACCGGGGGAGACGTGGAACCTGAAGTGAAGAGGTAGTTTCATCATGTTTGAATTCCTAATCATGTTAACACCCCCAGAGATATACAAGATCAGAATAAGACAGACACAAAAGAACAAAAACAATACAGACAATCTGGGCATTGAACATAAAAGAAAGTTATATATTCGTACTCCGTACAACAGCACCGATATTAAATCGAAGAACAAAGAAGCAGAATAAATCGAAACGATCCAGGGAAAAATCAAAAGAAACAGTATGACCCATCGTCCCCCCATCAAGCGCAGCCCACGCCCGTTGGCGGAGCAGCACAAACGACCAGAAAAAGGCAAAACAACGCACCACCGAACAAAAGCCCATTTTGACCAATAACCAATACCCACCCATGTCATGTCATGCCATATCCGGCCTCTCAAAACACCATATCATGATATATCAATTATTTTCCAAAGCAAACAAACTAACGCGTATCGACCTGATCATCATTTCCATTATCTGGGCAATAACCATGTTGAAAGAACGATATTCTGGCCCAAATATACACACGGATCCACTCGCCATCCTCACCCGCGGTAGCCAGAGTCAAAGCCCCAACCAGGGCAACATAGTCCACAACTCATCCGGGAAAAATATCTGGCACACCTTCATCCCCTGGCTCCTGTAAACCCTGCCCCTCCTGCTCTTGTTCTCGCACTTTGCCAGAAGATCCACCCAGGAAGTTAGTCCGCCGTGTATCACCCTCACCAACCCCATCTAGCGCCACCCCTTCCCTTGTGCTCCTTTCCATATCCGTCTCAATCTGATGCAATGATACACTCTGCCTGTCATGCAGCTGCTGGCAAAGCTCCAATAGAAACCGCAGTTTCAGAAGCAATGCCTCCCTAGCATGTAGCAGGACGTGGCATATCGCCCTGTGCAGAGAGCGCAGAGCATCAGGTTCGCCGAGAATCTACGTGGAAAGTAACGCCGTATTGAAACAGCGTGTCATAGCGGATGGATGTTGAGGTGTTGGACTGGCATGATTGCAGTTGCAGTTGCGGTTACGATTTCAGCTACCCTTGGGCTGCCCTTGGGCATCTGGCATCGACACCTGTTTCGGCTTCAACACCTTACTCCCTGTAACTGTCATCCAATGCACATTTAACCGCGCAATTTGCTGGTCCATCGTCAGCGAGAAAGATCAGTGCTGCGTATTGTCGAACTGCTGTATGCTGACGGTTTCGGCGGTGGAGTTCTAGAAGGTCATTAAGGGCGATGGCAACGGCACTGCTGGCTTCATCTGTTGCTGTGTGGGGTGCGTCGTCTGTAGTGGCGGAGGTGAATTCGATGGTAAAGAAGGGGAAAAGGAGATTTGCGGTGGGGTTGGCGTGGTTTCTTGCGGGATTGGGACCGGAATCAAGGCAGGGTTCGCTGTCAGATGCGGATGTGGATGTAGTTGCAGGCGCTTATGCCGATGTAGGTAGAGGTGCCGATTTGGTGGTAAGTGTGGGGATTGCAGCGTGTTGGGCGTGCGAGAATGCATCATGCGAGAAACCATGGGGCTTTATCCGGGGCTGGATCAGGGAGGAAGGAAATCTGGAAGAAGAGACACAGGCACAGACTGGGCCCACGGCTGTTTGATTGAGTAGGCTAACGCCGTGTGAAGAAGATTGCCATCGTCATTATCCTCGTCACAGCCTGGAGTCAGACGATTACCCAGCTCGTCGATGATTTCATCTTCCGTGGCGTTCCACAGGCATCATGGGAATTTCGCTAAGTTCTCGTAGCGTGGTCTCATCGTCTAGCTGCGGAAAGAAGGCGATGATAATGGATCGGTTTCTTGGGTGATGATCTGCATAACCTTCTGCATCAGGGATTCCGGTGGTTCATTGCGGTATAAGCGAATACCGCGATAATCCAAGGGAGTTTTGGTAGCACATTCTTTCCGATGATACAACTGAGACGCCGGAGAGACTCTGGATGGATGAGAAGCAGTGGAGGACTGTGCTGGCGGTTTCGTTGGGGAATGGAGGGATCAGGAAGCCAGTGTCAAGAGAGGGTGTGAAGGGCCAAGATAAGGTGTCTACCCAATGTTGGATTGGGCTTACTTTTCGTTGTCCATGGTGGTAGCTTTTTTTTTATTGATGAAGATGATGAAGGCTGCTGGGAATTTCAATGACGTCTTCCGAGCTTTGATCTGTGGCATGGATGAGAAGCTAATGTTCATCAGCTTAATGGCGCTCAATTATATATATGAAAATGCACAAAACTGTACTAACCCATGAATTTATTTTGCGTTGCAGTGGTCCTTTAAAAATTAAAGGGGCGGTATATTCAGTTTCTCACAGTATCACACTTTGAGGGGATGAGTTTTCTTTTCTATTTATCAGCCAACAACAACATGAATCGTATCAGTCCAAGCAGTACACCTAGATTATTTGAGTATATTCAGATCGTGACACGTATGCTTCTTCTGGCCATTATACTGTGACATCTGGATGTCGTCACATTCCTGAGTGTTGTTCTCTTTGCTTCGATAGGAGTATCTCGGCCAGCTTTGTATGAAATGCTGGGCGAACGGAAGTTAGTTGGCCAACATAGAGGCCATCATGGGGTCTTGTGAGTAGAATCGCCATGACTGTGGCACCTCATCTATGTCAGGAAATAAGAGCATTGCCCTGGTACTGAGTAAGCTGATACTGTTGAAGGATGGTGGTTATGGATGTTTGAGGAGCAGAAAATGTCAACCTGAACCCATGTCAACATTGCATCAAGTATTGAAAACAGAATATAATATTAGCAGAAATATTGCGTAGTTAAAATATCATCGCTGTACAATTATCTAGGAAAATTCAAATTTAGAAGCCAAAAAAAAAAAAAAAAAAAATCAAATACTCAACTTCCATAGGCGTTCCCCTATTCAAATTCCACACCGGTTTGGAAAGAGCACAAAAACCAAAGTAAAAGAAGAAGTCGAAGAAAATCTTTTGGATTCACCAATTTTCTAAGAGCTCTTTGAAGTGCCCTTTCAAGCATACCTCCTTCTTCTACACATGGATAGGTTGCCAAATGCAAACTGCTGCCGCTACACAGTTGATTCAAACGCCCTGCATTGTGCGATTGGCTGTAACGTAATCGGACAACAACAAGGCTCGATGGCACCGATTTGGCTAGTTGAAACGTGCCAGCCAGCCAGAAATCCGCCGCAGACGTTGGCTGGAAAAACCATGGCTTTCATGTTGTGGCCGCCTGTTGCAGATATGTCCCTCTATGTACGGGGTAACTACCGGAGCTACATTCACAAACGCTTCACCGGGTAACTTTGCTTGGCCTCTGACTTTGGATGTACGGATCTTAAAGACATAATCGCTGGAGTGCTCCAATCTCCCATAAAGACAGCGGGGCACAGAAAGATGCTTAGTTACTCAGCAAGTCGCGTCAATGTTCCCTTGTGCGACAAAATCCGAAACATCTGAACCGAAGCTAAAAGTTGTTTACCTAACTGCCCAAGGAGACACACGGAATGGGAATGAATACCAACGGCTCTCCCTTTAAAGCAACCATGGGGCCCTAGGTGACCCCATCCACTCAAGCTCCGATCGAATCATTTCCCTTGAATTAGCTCTCTCGCTGTTCGTTCCTAACTCGACCGCAGGGCAGGGCGAGGCGAGAAAGCGACGTAATGGAAGGGAAGGGGAAGAACGTCAGACATGCATATTATAGGACTATGTTGCGGTTACACAACGGGAATTGGTTGGGTCGGAAGGCCTGCATATGGCTTTTGTTTCGGTTCATTAGCTCAGCTATTAGACATTAGCTACTTGTTGTAGGAGGGAGTGGAGAATTGTCAATGGGATTTATCAATTTGGACTAAATAGGGCCTGCCGTAACACCTCGACAAGTACGTAGATTGAATTTTTGCCTCTGGAGAAGAACCTGTCAGTGAAACAAGCAGCAAAAGAACCAACCACACCCGACAGAAGATTGCTGTTAGTTAGTTAGCCATGTCAGAATCAATATTATTAATGGTTCGAGTTCGAGCTCCCAGCTAACAGTGGCGGTTGCTCCCTTCCGCTGCATGTTAAAATAGTCTGCATGGCGCATCGAGACCAAGAGACAATCTTGATGTCTGAGCGGATGACGAGTGGCGGATGACGGGGGCGGGGGCAGAGACAACAGGGCCAAAACAGCACACCAGCTTCGTGGCAAGCTCACGTTCGAGGACGCTCTGCCGGTGTGATTAGGGAGGTGAGTTAGAGAAGATTGATAGTTATGTGAGGTATTGACTTCTCCGTCCAGGCATCGACCATTTGGAGGTATCTCATCCTGGTTAACGTCTCAACATTTATGCGCATATACATCCTCCATACTCCATACACAAGGTAATCATGTATGCATGTTCCGTACATTAAATGAGGGGAGTGTCCTCTCGAGCTCTCCCGTGATACTCATTTTTGGTCCCCCCGTATCTGCGGGGAATGTCTGACTCCTGACTGGCCAGTAGCAAGGGGTTGGGGGCGTGGGGAGGTGAGAGGTGTAAGCGCGAAGAAAACGGGGGATCTCAACAATCTTCCAATCCGAGCGAGTTCCACGGAGACGATCGAGCAAACCACACATCATTCATGTATGTACTGAGCCGTACATGGACATGGACATGTGCTGTATGTACTGTTTGTGTGGAAGTTGCAGGTGCACACGTCCGAATAACGCGGCGGACAGGCGGATAATGCCATTGGATTGGGCGAGCTGCCCTTAGCTATTTGAGGAACTAGACCAACGCGGTGACGACTTTGAGGGGCGGGGGTGTCTA